ATTAACTTGTTTAATGTTAGAGTTGGCCTTCATAAATGTTCACTGTGAGGCAAAAATATTTTTAAAATTCAAAGATCTGGTGGTTCTGCAGTAAAAATATGAACTACCCACAAAAACAGTTACTTTTGTGTTATTTTTAGATTGTCCCAATATACAGTTAGTGTTATTTATTCTGAGTCACAACTTTAAATTCAAAGGATTCTATTATTTAAAGACGTTATACAAAACATAAATATGTATTTTCCTACCCAATAATTATTTACAAGAGAAATTAAAGTTCTGATTTGAAGTTTTTATGCTATACTCCTAATCAATTAAAAGTATTTAAAATATCTTAAAGTACTGCTTGAAGATTTTAGAGCTTACAATATTTTTATCCTGTGTTTTGGTGTATAAAACATGGTAGAGTTTTTGTTTTGTTTGTATAAAGCTAGCCCTTCTGATATTATTGAAATATGGTAATTCAGATATTCTACATAAATAGGCCAACTTTGAATTAGGTTAATATCTCACTTAGTATTGAATCATTATAAATGTTTCATACTATTCTGAAGTAAAATAAGTATTACATCCTAATTTTAATGTATTTATTTGCATGTTAATACAAATTAACATGCAGATAAATTGAGTGGATGGTAATAAGTTGAAGATTGAGAAACAAAAGCTTTCATTGTGAGGACTGTGTTGGAATTATATCCCAAGAGTAAAGGACTTTGGGATACTATTGAGATTTATTTAATACATCATTACATAATGCTTTGAATAAGACTTTCCCTTAAGGTAAATGTAAAGTTATTCTATATATTTTTAAAGATACCATTTTTTAAAAAATTGAAGGCAGAAAAGTCATTTGGTTTCTTTAAAAGTTCTGCCAACTTTTTGGTATGCTTATTACTGAGAGAATACAGTCAATTTGTACTACTTTGATTCAGTTTGTTGCCTTTGTATTAGAATTATTGTGGGTTTTTTTTTTCCATTTGCAGATGTTCTTCTAAAGGAAGATAATCTGACTACCTTAAACCTCTATTTCTCATTGAAATTTGCTTTCTGATTTATTAGTTCTTTTATGCTGTTAGGTTAGATGTTTAAGTGAGAATGTAATCACTTTTGATGAAATGAAAAATATCGAATTTCTGAGTGGGTTCTTGAATCTTTGGTTATTTTGCCAAGGTAATGACCTATTTGTTTAGACAAAGCCAACAGGACTTTGTCATCTTTGCATTGAAGTGGAGGTTATATTGGAAAAACCACTGTAGACATTATGAGTGAAAAGATATGAACAATGAAAAATGTGTACATGTAAAAAATAGGTAGTTTAGCCTTAATTTGGGCATAAAAATTTAATGGTAAAAAATGGATTCATTTTAATACTAACTCAGTGGCTGTGGGGAAAGTTTATATAAGAATTTAGTAAAATACCTTTTCGCCACTAGGAGGAGTAGTGTGGTGTCTCCTTTTAGATGAAGAGACTAACAGTTCAAAAAATCAGCCCCATCTCAACAAGCGCAGCTTGGTCTGTCTCGGCCGCAGCATTTACTGTGAACTACCTCAGGCACTTGACAGTGTTGGACACATGGGTGGCATTCAAAGTGTCCTATTTATTTCAATTAATATTTGACATAATGAATTTCACTGGAGTTAGTACGGACAGTGACTGGGAGAAGGTGAGGTGTCTTAACAAAAGAAAGAGCAGAAGAGCACCAGCAAGCATTTAGAAGTAATGCTTAGTCTCTGTGGAATATTTAAGGATGGTTTAGTGACAGGTACATAAGCAAATAGAGGGGGGGAAGAGGCAGTTCTTAACATCTAAGGGAAATTAAAAATTATATCTACTGTAAGCACCACTGTGTGATGAATATTTTCATCATCATCACCTGCGCATACAGTGCTAGGGATTTGGCCGAGAGGAGGTGATGTTACAGCCAAAGAGGGGTCGTGAGTCAGAAATGTGAATGTGGGGATGGCAGGCTTGTGGGTAAAGAGTGCTACACCCTCTTCTTCCATTGTAGAAAACAGAAAGTAACTAAACCTTTAAAAATCCACCCATAATGTACATTCTTTTAAATTTGAGACAGTAACAAGTTGAAAGTCTACTGCAGGGAGGCATTTTTATTAATAGTCTAATCATAATCTTTTACTTTAAAGGTATTTATTAGTTTGATAAATATGAAATTCTAGTTTTAAAAAGACAGGTTATAAAGTTTTTCTATTGCACTTGGTCTTGGTTTCACTTTTTAGGTACTTACTGTATGTGAGATCATGAGCATCCTTGGATACCTCAAACAAAATAGAGGACAGCCTCTTAAATGTTTGCACTTTTTATTCTTAATTCCAAGAGGGCCACAAGCGTGTTGTAACAATGAAAAATGTGAAGATATGGATCTTGCCCCTTACCCCAAGGAACCTGGAGCTTAGATGTTAGATAAGACATGTATATACATCTTATTGAAACATGGCTCTGGTCACATTGCTACCTTGATTTAAGACCTTCAGTGACTCCTTTAGTTTGACTTGTAAAGCTTTTCTAAAATCCTTACCCGAAATCCACCATGATGAGATAACATGTCACACCCACTAAGATGGCTATAATCAATAATAGCAAGTGTTAGCAAGGATGTGGGAAATTGGAACCCTCAGACACTACTGGTGGGAATATAAAATGGCTCAGCTGCTCTGAAAAGCACTTTGGTTCTTCCTCAGAAGGGTGAACAGATACCTTATGACCCAGCAATTCTATTCCTTGGTATATCCCCAAGAAAAATGAGATCGTGTGTCTTCACAAAAATTGTTCAAGAATGTTTACATTAGCATTATGCAGGTTATGCAAAATAGCCAAACAACTCAAATGTCCATCTACTGATGCTGGGGGAAAAAGTGTTTTTTTTTTTTTGGTATCCCTACAACAAAATACTTGGCAATAAAAAAGCATTTTTATAATGCTATAAAATAGACGAACCTTAAAACATTATATTAAATGAAAGAAAGCCACAAAAGACCACTTATTACATGATTCCAGTCATATGAAATGTTCAAAACAGGCAAATCCATAGAGACAGAAAGTAGATGAATGGTTGCCTAGGGTTCGGGAAAAGAGGCAGAGGGGAGTTACTTCTAATGAATAGAGTTTCATTTTGGGGGTGATGATTGCACAAATCTGTAAAAAAACCATTTAATTGTGTATTTTGAATGAGTGAATTGTATGGCTAGAAAATGATTTTCTGGGGGCAGTGTTTACTATACTCAGTGAAGCTGTTATTCAAAAACAATCCCAGCTCTAACCTACTTTTCCAGTCTTATTTCCCATTCTTCCACTTGGCCTCAACCAATTTTACTTATGTTCTTTTTACCTGCAATACAACTCTCTCTCTAGTTTCTCGAGACCAAATGCTACCTGTCCTTCCAAATCCAGCCAAACTTCCTCCTCTTATATTCGTATGAAATGGAAGGAGCAGACTCTGTTCTCAGCGTCTACCAGGCTGGTGTCTCTGGGCATATCACTTGACGTATCGCAACACAGACAGGAGTTGCGTGTTAAGCGACAGCTAGTCAACATTTGTCAGCCACCTATAGTCAAAAATTACCCAAGAAAATCTTACTGAACAGTACAATTCTCCTTTTATGTTTAACTTGCCAGGTTTTTTTTTTTTTCCAGCTTGGAACAGATCTCTGCTCTGTTGAATGCTAGTTGAAAAAATTGACTTGCATCTATAGGTGTTACATAAAGAACAATTACTTTGCATATATGATGATTGACCGCAAGCTTCTTCCAGCCCCAATTTTCAATAGAAACACACTGAAGCTCTTATCATGTTTAGGGGGAAGGGTAATAAGATGGACAGGTGATGGATTGGTTTATAAACTGACTTGTCATTTGGGACTTCTTTAATTCAATATACATTTTGGTGTAACTACCGGCTTGTTAGTAATGAAAGAAATCATCTAACAAAACAAATGTTTTTCCCTATACCACACTAACTGAAAGAAACTGCTTTTTCATAAACTTCATAATAACCCTGCATTTTAAACAGTTGAATATCTGGACCCCACTTACTGCATTGTAGTGGGGTTTTCTCTCCTGTAACCAGACTGGTATTCCACACAGCAGGCTGAAATCAAGACCTACTAAGAGAATGGCAGCGTTTTGTCTTTCCACCTTTACACTTAATAAAAATGGTAGGCAGCCCTGGTTGGTGTGGCTCAGTGCATTGAGTGCCAGCCTGCAAACCAAAGGGTCACCAGTTCGATTCCCAGTCAGAACACATGCCTGGGTTGCAGGCCAGGCCCCCAGTTGGGGGCCCGTGAGAGGCAACCACACACTGATGTTTCTCTCCCTCCCTTCCTCTCTCTCTATAAAGAGAATGGATAGAATGTTTTTAAAAAGTTAGCCAAAATCACTGAATCTTTTGAAATATTTTCTCTAATCCTCCACCAAATAGAGCTGATTTGTTTAAACAAAATGTGCCATAAAAAGGACTAGTTGAGTAAATGAAGCCCCTCCATACAGTGGAACACTGTTATACCTGTTAGGGAAAACAACGGCGAAACTGGGTTTATAACATGACGCTTTGAGTTTTGTTTTGAAGGATGTACACATAGATGTGTGCATATGTGCAACTGCACATATCATTCTAAACAAATGTGTGTATTTGTGCATGCATAAAACATTTCTGGAAGGACAGATTATGTAGTAAGTTGGTGATAGCAGTTGCTTCTGGGGAAAGGAACTAGCCATGATGACAAGGGCAGGAGGAAGACTGATTTCACTGCAAGTGCTGTTCCACATTGGCTGACTTCTACTGTGTGCACATTAGCTTTCCAACAGAAAAGCACATCTTCTTGCCAATGAACTGTTTATAGTTCATGATAAATATATGTCAGTTCGAGGTGCCTGTTCTAAAGGAACAGAATATGTGTGCATTGTGATAATTTACGCTTCTGTTTGTTTGATTCTGCAGCAGCTAAGATTATACCACCACTGATTTATGGTTTGTGTTTTACAGAGTTACATCCATTTGGGAGAACAGTCTCCAGATCACTACAATTTCTAGTTTTGTAGGAACGTGGCTTGGAGCCTTTCCTATTCCACTCGATTGGGAAAGACCATGGCAGGTTGGTTTCAGCTACTTCAATTAACAAAATTAAAGTTTGTTCAATAACAAAACTGATGCCGCTAACACACATATGCATGTAAACTGTTTTGTTGTTCAGTGCAGTAGGGATGCCGGTTCCCTCTGCCACCGTAATCTAGGCGATGTCTCCTTGTAGCAGGTCTCAGTGCCACGGGGTCAGCCTGGTTCTACCTTCCAGCAGTTTTCTTCTTCATATATAGGTGAATAAACAAGCTTAGTTTGTGGATATGTATAGTTTTGTTTTGTTTTTAAGTAGGCCAGAGGTTGCAGGAATTCCCTGTTTTCAACTTTGATACTCATTGCTTTTGTGGTCTTCGAGTCATGTTTTTGTTAATGTGATTCATGGCCAAATTGAATGTTGAGCTTGAACATTTTTAAAAGCGTGTAGCAAAGTAGATTTTTAAAAGGGACGCACGATCTAATGGAAGCTCGTCAACATCAGGGTTTTCATTTCCTGCCTCAATAGGATATAGCTTGTGAGCCAAGTAGAACACTGTGAGGTAGGTGTTCTTTCTGCCCCCATTTCACAGGTGAGCGAACTGGTATGAGGGAGATGCGTAATATTTTAAAGTTCACTGGGCTAGTAATGCATGTTTCACTGTCTTAATTTTTAATGGCTTAGTGGTGTGCCATTATATAGTTATTCCAAAATTGAACAAATTCACTATTGATCATTCAGGTTATTGCCATTATTGTGTTATTATAAACAGTGCTATCATCAAAATCTGTACCTTCACAGATTTTTCCAATTATTTTCTAAATTTCCCCCAAATGGAATTGTGTTATTTAAAAATATTCTTTTCCAAACATGAATACAATTTTTTCTGATTATAAACTGTACATTTATTTAGAAAGTTTAAGCAATATTAATAATCATAAAGAAAAAAGTAAAAATTATCAAATATCCAACCACCTAGAAGCCTTTAAACTTTGGACTTTAATGCTACTACCTACCAAATGGAATTAAACAAGATAATCAAATCTCTTCTGAGCATACTTATTTCTTAAGCAAAATTGTGTTTAAAACAATTTTAAGTTACTTTTAAATATTTGTACTTATTCCCATCAGGTACCAGATAAATGAAGCATTGTTATATATAAAAGTCCTTTTTGTTTTCTCTGGTTTTATTAGGTTAAAATTTTAATATTTGGGAAACATCCATTTATTTTCTAAAGTCACAGATACCACAGATAATTCTTTCAAAAATTGAAGCTAGGGATCATAAGGATTATAACTAAATGAATCACTACAAATAATGCTAGAGTGAGGGATAAAACTAAGATTATGGATTTAATTACTGAAGAGTAGCTGTTTCAAGGTTACTTGGTGTTTCTGTTACCAAAGGTATTACTCAGTGTTTTAGACAGACCAAAATAAAATGCTAATTTATATGAGTAGGACGTGTTGCAAGCATGGGAAAAAAAATAACGGTAATACTTAACTGACAGAGGATGGTTTGGAATTAAAAGGTGGGTTCATTGTAAAGTCGTCAGACTGACAGTGCTCACTAGAACTTCAATGTGAGAGAGAACGGTGCTGGCCAGATTAAATCGTTGGCATGATCATGGCAAGAACCATTTTCACGTCACTTTGACAAAAAGTTCCAGACTGGAGACGACACAGCTCACCAGACGGCTCTTCCCAGATTTGTGTGCCGTTAGGCACAGGGGAGTGGTGGAGTATACACGGACCAGTGCAGATGTGCAGCTAGAGAAAGTCCAGATGAGTGGGTCATCTGTACTTGTACTGCTACATCAGACAGTAGCATTCGCTTTAAGAACATCTGGAAAAATACCACTTACAACTAAATTCAGAGGAAAATATAAATGGTCATTTGAAACCAGTAGAAGTGTCAGCAGGCTTCGAAAGATGAATTCTGTCATGCAAATACGAATTTGTGATGAGTACAATAAAAATAAAGTTAAACAGTAGCTGTGAGAAACTTGGAAATGGCTGCCTGGGTTTTATCTTCCCTTTTATCTGAAAGAGCCGGTAATCCTAGTGGTTGTTGAGTTGCTGACTGTTGGAGGTGTTCGCATCTGTAGATAGGTCAGTTCATCTGTGGCCACATGTACCTTTCCAAAAATTGTAATTATTTTGCAACACGTATTTTATGAATTTATTAAAACAACCCAAATTGAATAATCTTCGTTTGTACCTGAACTGCTTGGTTTATAGTGGAGGCTCAGTATATGGAGCCATTCATGAGACTCTTTAAGAATGACACAAATGTCCACCAGGGGTTGGTTTAGAACCGGTTTCTGTACTTAGGCTTCTGAAAATCATGAAAAACAACAGCTGGCAGCAGGAGCCCCCCTTCTGTTTCTCAGGGGAGCTGCACATGGTTAATACAGTGTGGTGTGCGTTCTCTTATAAACTTTACACTCTCTGGATAGTCCATGTGAAGAACAGTATGTATTAAAAATTATTACATTACAAGGGCAAGGGAGTAATTCCTACAGCAGGGCATAACATTACTCATGAACAATTTTATTTGTCCTGAATTGCTGGTTCTAATTATTACCTAGCTGTGTCAGTTACCAAAGAAATACTTACATTAGTGATCATGTAAGTATAATTTTTTTCACATTAGACCATGTAATGTACAAAATGATACTGATGTGTGGGACTGCACAGCTTTCATGATTTAATTCAATATCCTGGCGTTGTAAGTACCAGAGGTGCTTATTCCTGTGCTGCACATTGGAAAACTGGGGCTCCGAAGTTCAGTGACCTGGTCAGGGGCATATGGCCGGGAAGTGGCCCGGCCCACAAACTCTGATCACCCCCTTCCGCTGTCCAATCTTCCTTCCCAGAGAAGTAAAGTTCCCAAGTAAAATAGGAAGTATTTTTAAAAGTAGCCTAATGTTTTTGTATGTTTTAAAACTTCCTGTTGAGTAGTTTAACTAATTTCAACAAAAATCCAAATTACCTAATTATAGTCATCTAATAAATACCTGACCATCATTTTAGTAAGGAAATCTGCAGCAGCCATAGTGACCCGCCAGACTGGCTGTTACGTAGTCTCACAAGTGTGCGGCTGTCGTCGTAATGACATGCCAAAGTTAAAAGTCTATTTGCACTTAATGTATGCCAAGGGGGCCCACGTAATAGTGTGCATATTATAATTAAGTGAAGTGTATTTAAACTGTTTACTCTTCAATCACAGATTAACAAATGCCACCTCCATCACTGAAAATATTTCTTGGACCAACTATAACGATTAATTAAAATACTCGTTGGAGTGATGGGGTTCTTAACCAGGAGCACAGTTGGGCTTTGGAGGTCTGTGAATCCAAAATTATATGCACTTTACATATGTAATATGTATGGATCATGTTTGACAAGGAAAGATGAATTCTGTTAGATGCAGTTTTTCAAAGTTATTTTTAAAGTACTTAAATTTGGGCAGTTTTTGTTTGTTTTTTTAAATAGGAGCAGCTTTAGAAATCTGAGCTGTAGAAATTTGGGGAATGACGGTTTTCTATATTGGAACTTATACAGGGTGGGGAAAAAGTAGGTTTACAGTTGTGAGTACGCAACAGTTTATTCTTGTATCAGTTTATTAATTATTGTATTATTTTCCCATAGAACACCTGTAAACCAACTTTTGCTCCACCCTGTGTATACCAATTAGAAATATGGAGTAAAAGATTATCATCAAATGTAGCTCACGAGTATTGGCCACTGCACTGTGTGTCAGACCCGGTGACAGGGACGGCTGTGCGGGGCACATAGTGCATCAGCCATGTCGTCATCGAGGCGACCCCGGGAGGTGAGCTTATGACGACCCTCCCTTTGCAGGCGAGAAACCAAGGCACCCAAAGGCTAGGTGACTTGCCCAGAGTCACATATTTAACAAATGGCAGAGCTGAGACTCATTCAGCCTAATACAGAAACCAGTGTTCTTAGTTCTTATTCTTTGCTACTCAGAAGATGCTTTGAAAGATATCGAGCACTGCACAGATATACTCGTATTAGTACATTTTCTTTTCCTAAAATGTAAGCTGAGTTCTATCAGAAGACAGCAGTGTGGTTCTCAGGTGGAAATAAGCTTGTGTAATTTTGAAATGCCTTTTGTTTAAGAGAAAATACAAAGTTGTAACTCCACTATTTATTAAGAAGCTTTTTTAGCTTATTAGGATGAAATTGTTTTATTACAGAGAAATGATTTATTTCTGGATACCATATACCCAGAACCTAAAATATTAGGCCTTTGTTAATGCTGATTATTTTTAGAGAACGATGACCTTTTTTAATTATGAAAATATAAGGAGTCAGTTGATAGGAAGGATAATAGTACACCAAGCAAGATACTTTCTTCACATGGTGTAGCCGGCCATTTTTTAAAATGTTTTCCTTTTTAACAATAACTTTAATAGTTTTACCTACTTGCATTTTTATTATCTTTTGTTTCTCAGTGGGGGGGTTTTCTTCTGTTTTGTGATTTAAATTTTTTTTAATTCATTAAAATTAGGTAAAAAGATGACTGTCATTTTGGTGGCAAAGACTTGTGAAGGACTTCCTTTACATGAATGTCTGAGTTTTCTGTTTTCCTTAAGCAAAACGAGGTAATTATTTATAGCCATCGCAGATTACTGTAATTTGGAGGAATATTTATAGCAATGCAGTTGAATTGTCTGTTCAATAGATAATACCATGGTTTTTTTAAAAATCCTTTTAGACATGAAGAATGTTACATTAGAAACATCTCTGTATGTGAGACAAGTAAATAGTTTTAAATATAAACTTCAGGATCTAATTATGAAATTACATGGGTAAGCTAGGATTGCTTGATAAGTCACTCTGAATTCTGTTGCCCTAGTATAGGTTTAATTTTTAAAAAGCAGTGATAAGGTGGGTAAGAAATTGCTTGAGGGAAGATTACTAGGGAGCAACCTCCCCCCACTCCTTTCGGCTACTCCTTTCCTCTTTCCCCATCTTGGCCTACAACAGTCAGTGCAGTTACCCTTGTATAGAGAAATTCTCTCTAAAACGTGACTGCATCACAGTGAAGGACCACTTTGGAAAGCCTGGTCCGTCACCAGGAAACAATCTTCAAAACCAGTCCAACATTTTAATTTACAGACAGCATGGATCTCTTGAGGCATGTAATAACAGCAAGTGTTCCAAGAAGACTTAACCCCTCATTAGACAAAACTTTTTAACCAGTATTTATTTCATTTTTGGCATTCCACTGGAGGTGAAGTACAGCAGCTGTTTAAAGAATTGTGGGTGTGAATGTATGTACGTGTTTAGAAACAGAGAGCCACACTGAAATTACAAAGTGGTTAAGATAGAACTTAGTGACCCAAACTGGAATTTGGCTGGGATTCCCAAGGGATCACCCTTCTCCCTACTCCGGGCCAGCGTGATTTACAACAAAGTGCAGATGCTTAACACGCGGCAGATGATGAGCAGACTCACAACACGAGAAACAGAGGACAGAGTATGCGGTCTCAGATGTTTACACAGGCGTCAAACAGAAACTGCTACGGTAAGAAGTGCGGTGCTTTACATAGAGAGTAAACTGTGCATGGTAGTTTATTTTTAATCCCATGTGTTAAGATGGGACACTGTTAAAGTAACAGTCACTTAAAAAGCAACAACCAACAAACCAGTATTTAACTTGGAACTTAAAAATTAATAATTAAAAACCAAATGGAAGCAATGTCTAAAATAAGTACGATAACTCACAATAAAACCATAACTCAGGCTCTACTTACTGGAAATATGGTAACTCAAAACGGGCTAACCTAAAATGTATCATTAGAGATAGAATAAAGGCATAAGTTAGCAAAGTGTTAAATAAGATTTCAAGGAGCCTCTACAATTCCTTTTAAGAATTTCAGGACTTTATATATATATATATATAAAAATATTAACTATAAGTTCATTCATACATGGCCTTATTTGAAGCAGTTTATTTGCACTCACTAGCAAAATTCATGTCGGTAAGATATTTTTGAAGTATTTTATTTCCCAGATATTTCACTACTTTGAACTAGTTGTTCCAGTGACTAGTCTGAATTTCTGTTGAGACCTTAGCCGTTAATGAAGATGCATTTCTGAAAATAAGGCAATTTTCTACAATCTGCGTATGAATAGAAAACAAATCTTTGGTTTTCAGTTAAAGTGGCAGGAAGGACTTTGCAAAAAGAAACTCCAAAGAGCCAAAGCAGTGAAAGGGCTCTCGGGGGGCAGTGGGGACCCCAGACCCCGTCAAGGTGAGCAGAGCACCTAAGGCACCTCGGGTTCAGATGATCCAATCATCTGTGCTCTGCGTTCTGATAATCTAGGTACGGGATTCCCACCGTCTGAAGGGGGTGAAGCTGAAAGGGTCATAATGTCCAGCTACGATCACCATGAAAAAGAAGAGAATCACAGGTGGATAACGGGAGTGACCCTGGGGACCACCTCTCTCCCATATGTGTAGATGAGGAAACTGAGGCCCGTTCGTGAAACAGGCCACACCCGAGCTGCGTGTCCAGATTCCTAGTCCATTTCTCTCGGATTGGACAGATTCTAGATTTTAACTTTCGCTGGCTAGGCAGGTGTGAAGAGTTTCAGTGATGAATTTGGAAAAAAAAAAATTCCCATACACCCCCAAAGACAAGTTGGAAATGTGTAATACTTTACTGTCTTAATTCCTTCATACCATGTGTTGGATAACTTAGCTAACATACGAATTGATTTACACAGTTCCTTTCAACTTTATCTAAAAAACAGCAGACCAAAATTAAATGAGAACGTTACATAAGATTCCATTTGAGCATAAATGATAAGGCCATGGTACTTAATGTGAACCGCCATTTTGGGGGAGAAAGAAGATTTCCACTGTCCGGTTCAGAGAAAGCTCCTGACTGGTTTATCCAGCAGACGCTCCACTCTTCAATGGGGAAGATGACGCTTGGGTTTTAAAAAATCTCTACAGAGCTCACGTACAATACAGTCCATCCTACATTTGTGACTGATGGGTATTTAAGGCTGTCATTTTCAAGTATAAAAGTTTAGTGTTCATTACCCAATCTGTGCAATAGACATAGCTGTAAGCTCGAGTCGTGGAAATGAACAGGAGCCCACCAAGGACATAAAATCATAATTTAGGCAACTGCAAGTTTAAATGTAGAAAAGGCTTGGGGGGGGCGGTGATGTATGGATTACATTATGCTTCTCTCTGAACTGCATTGATTTGTTCACACAGAAACTTTGCCTAATGTTACTGTCTGTTGCATGGCATTTGGAATAAGGCAGATCCACAGCAGACTGCCAAGGAAGCTTAGGTAACAGAACTAGGAATTAAGATGGTTCACCTCTAGCACAGCTCTATGGCCTGTTCCCCCAGAAGAAGATTGGAAATGGCTCCAGTATGCTTCACAGAGAACATGAAAAAGTTTTAAGACAGGGCCTTTCACCTAGGGAGCAACGTGCACTGCTTGTGGATGGAATAAATCAACAGTATTATTACTTCTGGCTTTGTGCACTATTGCAACACGTTACAATTTGGCTGGAAAACAGTGTCTGGAAGCCAGTGTTTTGTTGAACTTCCACTCTAGGTGTTTGACTTAAGTCGGTAGTTCTGTAACTTCTGCAGTGGTTGCAATACTGTACCTGAAAGGTGGCATCAGTTTTATGATGGAAGCAATTGCTTTGTTGTAAATCCCATGTGGCATGCTTGAGTTCTAGGTCTTTTCTCTTTACCACAGTTCAGAGTTGCTTGTGGTTTGATCATCATATGCACTTCTCATCTCATTTGATATGCAACACAGGCCAATGTGGAAATTCAGAAACAAAATTACCAACCTCAGAGAGCTAAACTGAGTCCAAGATTATGGCAAAGTCTGACCCCAAATTTTAATTTGTAATTTTCTCATGTCTCATGCAGTTTGGGGAGCATCAAACTAAATCTACAGTTGCCAGAAGCCTCATTACAGTTGAATGCACATTAACTGAAACGTGTCCATTTTTAGTGTTCATGATAAATGCAGTTATGAACTTATTACACTTTTGGCATTCTTTAAGAAAGCACACTAAGCTTTAATATAGAAATATTTAGGTTACACTTAACTTGTGCTCAAGTAATAATAAAACATTTGTTCTCTTTTGATCTCATACATTGTCTCCTCAGGTATGGCCCATCTCCTGCACGCTGGGGGCGACCTTTGGCTACGTGGCTGGCCTTGTTATTTCACCACTCTGGATATACTGGAACAGAAAGCAACTTACATACAAGACCAATTAACTGGAACAAAGGAAGAAGTTGGAGGGGGGTTTGTTTGTGTGCAGATCCCATGAAGACTGTGCAGAAATGTGTATGGTCTAAGCCAGGCAGTTCCATCTATAGCACTGTTTTTTATGTAGTTACATGATGTGATTGTAGCTTTTTAAACTATGAAACCCCTGAGAGATTGTACCTTCTAACTGAAATAAAGTATTTATAATAGATTGTGACTTCAGATGCTGTTTGCTGCTTCTTGGACCTTTAAGAAACATTCTCAATGAACTCGATAGAATTCTGAGGACAGGGTTGTTTTTTTTCCTTCCATGTTTTGAACTGCTTCAGTATTTATGAGAGGTCTAGGGATAGCTGTAGCATTTCAGATGCTTTCTTAGAAATGGACAGTTTCCTCAGCCACTGAAGATGTTTCTCACGTAATCAAACAACAGTTTATACATCTTGATCCTATTCTTTTTTTTACTGTGTGTTTCTTTGGAGTTAAAATGGCTATGATAGCCTCATCAAAAACAGTCTTCAATCCCTTCTGGGTTAAAGCTGAACATTCCACATAGCAGCACGCTCCTATCTGGGAGGGAGAAAAGAAGTCACAAATACATTTTTTATACAACTGGTATGACAAAGACACCACTATAAGGAACATTATAAAAGACAGCTATGCAAAAGGAATGAAATCATCAGAATACCCAGAGATAGCTAACTGTTAAATTACTAGTATATATCCTTCCGGACTTTTTTGTGAAACACTCATCAAATATTTACTGGGTACCTACTGTATGCCAAGCACTGCTTCAGGTGCTGGGGGTAATGTCAATGAACTGAACAAAAGAACCAAGTCCCTGCTGTGTGATGCCTACATTTGCTTAAGTTCTGGGGGAGGGACACACACGGGACGGATGCTGGCACAGGCTCTGGAGAAACAGCACAGTGAGGAAGAGGTGCAGAGCAGAGGATACTGGTGGTGGTCGGAAAGCTCCACAGGTGAAGTTTGAGCACAGGGATATCCAGAGGAGGAGTTTGAGGCAGACAGAGCCACAGGGGCAAAGACCTTGATGCAGGGGCTCGCTTGGAGTGTTGCAGGAATGGGAAAGAAGTCAGAGTGGCAGGAGAGAGTGAGCAGGGGGAATGGCTGCAGATGAGGTCAGTGAGGGCCTTGAGGCCACTGGAAAGACTGGCTTCTACTCTGAGAAGGGACCTGTCACTCATTCATGGAAAATGAACTGAGCACTTATTTGCCAAGGGAGAGACAACAGCAAGGAATAAAAGTAAGCGTACTCATGAAACTTACCCTTTGGAAAGAAAAGACCATAAGCTAATAAATGTAGATAGAAATGCCAGAGGATGTTAGGTCGTCTGCAGACAAATGGAGACGCAGGACAGGTAAGGGGTGGGGACAAGACCAGGCAAGGTCTCGTTGACAAAGTGGTATGTAAGCAGAGATCTGATAGGAGTGAAAGAATGAGTAATGTTGCAGAGGGAAGAAGATTCCAGGCAGAGGGAGCAACACAAGTTCAAAGTCCCAAGATAGAGATTTTGGGGAACAGCAAGAAGGCCATGTGCCTGAGTGAGGCAGAGAGGTGGCAGGGGCCACGGCGAGGATTTTGGTCTTGACTCTGCGTGAGCTGGGAGCCTCTGGAAGATTCTGAGCAGAGCAGAGACCTGATGGAGCTCATATTTTAAGACTCCCTCGGGACACTGTGTTGAGCACAGGTTAACACAGGACACAGGAGCAGAAAGGTGACTTAGAAACTGCCCCCGTAACCCAGGCCAGAGGTGGAGGGGCCTGAACTTGATTGATAGAGGACAGAATGGTATAGAACACTTGGATTCTGGATATATGAAGGTAGAGCAATATGTTTTGCTACAAGATTGGCTATATCATATAAGAACGGCAAGGTCAAGTGTGATTTCAAGGTTTTTGACCTGAGTAACTTGGGAGGAGAGGCTCTGAGGACAAAATTAGGAATTGTTTTGGACGTGTCAATTTGGAGATGGTTAGCCACCAAGATGGACTTGTTGAGTGCAAGGCTGGTAACCAAGTCTAGAGTTTAGGGAAGAGGTCCAGGCTGGAGATGCAAATTTGGGAATCTTCAGAAGACTGAGAGAAGCTCATCTAGGCCTAGAGAATGAGTGTGGATATAGAAAAGATGTCCAAGAAGCTGAGTGCAGATCTCTGGGCCCTCCATCATTCAGAGACAAAAACCGTCCTGGCTGCTGTGGCTCAGTGAATTGAGTGACGGCCTGTGAACCAAAGGGTAGCTAGCCAGTTCGATTCCCAGTCAGGACACATGCCTGGGTTATGGGCCAGGTCCCCAGTTGGGTGCGTGCGAGAGGCAACCACACACTGATGCTTCTCTCCCTCTTTTCCTCTCTCCATTCCCCTCTCTCTAAAAATAAATTTTTTAAATCTTAAAAAAAAACAAACCCAAGAAGAAAGAATAACCAGAGAGAGGGCATTCAAGGAAGCCTAGTGAAAGTATTTCATGGAGGAACCAACTGCGCCAAATGCTGTTGAGAGGGCTTTTAAAAATGGGATCATATTGTTTCGCAACCACTTTTTCCCTTAAACTACATAGTAAGTTTGAACATCTCAATGGATATATTAGTATAAATTTTTAATAGTTGCAAGGTTTTGGGTGGGGGGAACTTTATAAACAAGGTAGCAACTTTGTAGCCATGTCTTTAAGCACATCCAAATAATTTTCTTAGGATACATTCCTACATATGGAATTGCTTCATCGAAAGTATGCATGACTTCAAGGCTTCTGCATACTGTCAAGACTGCTTTTACTCAATGACCAAGAGAACACAGAATGCCCATTCCCTTGCAGCCCTGAAAGAGGGGCTATTATAATCCATTTCTCAATATTTTGCCAACTTCACAGGTGGAAATGAAACTTACACTTGACTACTAAGGAGTTTAAATATATTTTCCATCTCCAATGGCAATCTGCACTTTTTTGGGTGAATTTTCCATTGCTGTTCCTTAGCCCATTTTTCTATTGGGGATATATGTCTTTTTCTGATCAATTCATACACAAGGGGTTCCTGTGCACTAAGGATATGAATCCATTTCTCTGCCATTTTTGTCAAGTTTGTTGTATGACTTCATTTTATTTCTGGTGTTTGATGTATTAGCTTTTCATGTAGTTCGCTCGTCAATATTTTAATTTAAGATTTTTACCTTCACGGCATTACAAAATTGAGTACGTGGAATTTCTAAAGTGAATCTATTTATCTTTTGCTTTAGTAAAAACTGTCCTCCCAAACTTTTCTTGCTCTGTTCTGCCTTCTGATAGTACATTTTAAAGAACCTTATTAGAATCTGTTTCCACCAAAGACCTATTAAAGTCACATCTGAAAAATAGCATCCAATAATGTTAGGGCCCAACACAGAAGAAAAGTAAGCATAGCTTTGGAGCGAGGAAAAATATAAGTTGAAACATATAATGTGCCTCACAGTTATATTTTGGGATGCCACTGTTTCCTATCTTTCATAAAAAGGAAAGATAGGAAAGATAGGCTGGAAGAAAATTCAACTAGTTTCTTTTCAAACCTAGCCATCGTGTTTTGCTTTTAACTGCAGATTTAATTTGTCACTCTCTGCCCCGCCCCCAGTGCCTCCTCCACAAATGTTAACTGAAGACAGAGCCTGATTGGCACAGTACAAATATTTAAGTGATTACAAAGGGCTTCCAGGTCAGCACCTTTTTCTGATGCCTCTTTCTATACATGACTTACTGGGAAAATACCGTTAGTGGCATCAGAATCTGGGTTCTAGAATCAGGCCATGACTGAAACCCAGCTCTGCCGTTTGTTACCTGCCAGACCTTTCAAGTTACCTGACATCGCCAAGCCTCTGTTTTCTGTTCAGTAAAAGAGGGAACTGGTCAGACCTGCCTCAGAGTCAGTGCAAGGATGAAATGAGATTAAATGTGGAAAGAACTCAGCACAGTGCCTGGCATACAGTAAGTGCACAATAAGTGCTAGCTTCTAGCGTTACTTTAGCTTTTACACTTATTCATAAATTCTGTAAAGGTTCATTACCTCTTTTGCTAGTTTCTGTCCTTGTTCCACACATACAGGCTTTTCTTTCATATCATTCAGTCTTGCTAAAGTTTTGGGGTCATCTCGGAGATCAATCTAATCAAGAAAGGTCAATAACGTCCCATAATATTACAAGTCTTTAAAAAGGAATCAAAGCATGTAGTCCCACTTCATCCCCACACACCAGTAAAAGATTACACAAAGGAACTTAATTTTTAAAACCAAATAATATAATTGCTTTCTTTCAGCACCACTTTTTCCAAAACTGTGACAGAATCCAGTATAACTTACAATGAAACTTAAACACATACACCATCCGCTAATCTTCAGAACCATCTGTCTCAGGGTCATACCACGAGCTAGGCCAGGGAGAGTCTCCTTAAACGAGTAAAATCAAAGCGGACATACCTGCGTTCCTATTAATAAAAAGGGTACATTTGGTGCATACTCCTTCAGCTCTGGTACCCACTCCTCTTTCACATTCTGAAATGAGGCTGGATTTACCACGGAGAAGCATATAAGGAAGACATCAGTCATCGGGTAGGACAGAGGCCTCAGGCGATCATAGTCTTCCTAAGGAAGAAAGAGACACCTCATTATTTCCACCTCCACGCCCTCAGTTGACCAATAATGTGTCCACTGGATTAACATGGTCAAGGAAACAAGTCCGGAGTATCCTGCAAGTGAAATGCACGGCATTCTACACAAAACAAGATCATCCCGTTTGTTTTTGTTATTTTTCCTTTTGCAGTTCTGAATTATCAGTGGGGTAAGAATACGACAAGACCACCCACAATTACAATGGAACTTAGAGAAAATATATTTTGATTACTACTACAGCGGCCATTGGAAACACTTTTTCACGGAAAAGTTTGCACAAAGAATTGCTAGCTGGATGTTGTCCATTATCATTCATAGTAACTAACAGGCACGGAACGTTTCCTGTGTCAGGTACAGAGCCATATACTCGCCGGAGTGTTACTCATTTAATTCTCCTAGCAACTACCTGACAACGTAAGTACCATTATCCCTGTTTTCCATTTGAGAAAACTGAGGCACAGGAGTTCAATAACTTGGGTGAGGATGTATAGCCAGTAAGCAGAAGAGATGGGATTTAGACCCTAGCAGGTTTATTATGCCTTACCCACCACACATCTTCACTGAGACCTTAAATCTTTGCTTTCCCTGTTTATATAGTTTTTTTAATATATTGTGTGTGTGTGAAAATATAAAGATAGAAACATATAGGAGGAATTCACAAAAAAACTCTTTCTTCTCCAAGTTCTATGACTGAAATGGAGATGTTCTCACATGTATCTTTCCAGTTCTTTTTCTGTGCACGGTACACCTACAACTGTACACGTGCAAACACCGCACAAGCACAGCCTGCGCGATCCATGCCCGCTTCGGGACGTCCTGGAGACCTTTCCTGATCAGAACACGTTAGACTGCCATGTATGTGACCTTAAACTGCTGCTCTGCATTCCACGGAAGGCTGTACTGCTGACGGCTTTGGCATCTATCACAAAAGGCAGTGAGGATCCTGTTTGGCTTAGACCATCTTCTAAGACACAAAATTCTGCTTATTTACGTTCTAGTGAGTGAACAGACTAAGGATTCTATTTTTGTCGGAGCTAGCCTCTCATCCGGTTTCAAGGAAAGTTTATTTTGGGTCGAGGCTACCACCCCTCTTAAATGACCCACTTCACCACTGGAAATGCAATGCACGTGGAACCGAAGGAACAGATATTAAGAACATCTTCCACCCAAGAGTTTCAGCAGCAGTATTTCTCTCGGGGAACAATTTTTCTTGCACATATGTCATCTTCTAACAGTTTCCTCAGCATACTGTTCAACCCAAGCATATTAACAGCTCAAAGTCTCGACTCCGGAGTTAACCCCTCTGTTTCTCTGTGATGCTTCCAACACAGCCTGGAGCCGTGGACACAGACAGATTTCTCGGGTGCTGGCTATCACAGGACAAGAAAGGAAAAGCCATCCCCAATCTTCTTTACCCTTTATTTTTCAAAGTAGAGGCTCCTAATTGGTTTTGAATAAAGCAGTGCTCTGCTATGAAGAAATTAATAAAAGAAATCAAGTAATGTGGGTATGAAGCATGTTGTATCCCAGTCAGTTACTATCAGAGACTCTTACTGAAAATAGAGTATATGTCTTTAAAAATCAATTTGAGTGTAAAATAGTACAGTTGGGTGCATTAAATATACTTTCTGTGCTGTGCTGCCTATTTCAAACTGCATGTCAGTAAGGTGGGGCCAGGGGGTGGCAGCATTTAACCTTAGCATCTACCCAGCAACTCTACATTCCAGAGACAAAACTTGGTGTGGTCAGGGAATGGGGTGCTCTTGTTAAAATTCTCCCCTCATTGCCCTGATGGTGTGGCTCAGTGGGTTGGGTGTCATCCCGCAAACCAAAAAGTTGCCAGTTCGATTCCTGGTCAGGGCACATGCCTGGGCTGTGGGTTCGGTCCCCAGTCAGGGAGCGTGCAAGAGGCAAGCGATCAATGTTTCTCTTTCACACTAATGTTTCTCTCCCTCTCTTTCTCCCTTCCTTCCCCTCTAAAAATAAACAAATAAAATTTTTGATTTAAAAAGAAATCTCCCCTCATTCATTTTTAGATCTCCAGGTTTCACAGAATTAAAAATGGGCACACTGTCTCATAGGATTATGAGGAATAAATGAAATTGTGCAACTGAATCCCTCAGCACAGTGCCAGGCATGTAAAATACTCCAATGCTTTCACAGGAATTCTTCCCCCACGGGAAACTGACCCTCCTGTTCCCCCGTAAATGCGTGCAGGGTCCCCGTGGTCCCCCACTGGTCTGGGTTTGCGTCTCTCTCCAACCAGAGAGAAGAGGCTCCTTTAGTGAGAAATACAATTTTCAAATACAATTTTCTACACTAACATCAAAACACAAATCAAATGGAGGTCTCTTGAGGACAGTCTAATTTTCAGATTAATAAAAGAAAATATTATAACTATACTAATTAGTCACTTGGGGACTCAAGTTCCTTAAGACTATTCAATATAGTATTTCTAAGAAAACCAAATGAGATTTTTAGATGAAATTTTACTTTACGAGCAGGTTTACCTCATCAGGGAAACAGAATGTGCATTCTTTTTCTAGAAAGCCCTGCAAAGAATAAAAAGCAAATACAAAATTCTATTGAAATGTTTAATAACACTAATGCAAGTCTTCTACAGAACATAGGTGGGGTATGCATTGCTTTCATAACCATAGCAAATACTGACTTTCCTCAACGAGGGACAATGGTCACAAAGGAAAGAAATTAGACTAATCATCTCTAGATATCTGTTAACTTACAGATTTTGTTGAAATCATTAAAAGGTGAAGGATTTGCCCTGACTGCTGTGGCTTGGCTGGGCACCATCCTGCCAAGCAAAAGCTCACCCGGTCGATCCCCAGTCAGGGCACACGTCTAGGTTGCAGGTTCAGTCCCCAGTCAGGGCACATACAAGAGGCAACCGATCAATGTTTCTCTCTCACATCAATGTTTCTCTCCCTCTTTCTCCCTCCCTCCCCCTCTCTAAAAATAAATACAATCTTTAATAAAAAATAGATTTAAAAAATGTGAAGGATTTGGGTTATAAAAAAATAAAACAAAAACAAGTATGTTTAGAACTCCTTAAAAACAAATGTTACCTCTTAAAGTCTCAACTACCTAAATGAACTCCATCTGCCTGTTAATCTCCAACTAAATAATTGGCAGTTATTATAAGAACGAGACCTTTCTGCTTCCATCCAGCCAGAGTAATTAGAAGTCTAATAATAGACAGCACATTAAAAAAATAAATTACCCCCTATGCCTACGGCGCCCGGCATGCACACTGTCGAGTGAACTCGGTGTGAAATTCTGGATTTGGGGGTAGAGAAGTCTCATCTCCAGCTATGTCCTGTAAATGTGACGACACAAAGAAGGTTAAACGTGCAGCACCTGCCCTTGACTTTCAATAGCCACTTATCAAAGCCAGAACTTCTCTTTTTTTCTTTTCATTTAATCTTTATGTTTCCATTACCATTTATTACACCCCCTCCCCCCACAATCACCACAGCGCTGTCCACGTCCATGAGTCCTTCTTCCTTTGCTCACTCCCTCCACCCCTAACCTCCCCAGCAACCTGCCCCGCCTCCGGCGACCTTTTGCTTTGTAGGATGTGAGGCCAACTCTCTGGTGTCTTCTTAAATTAACAGATCAATTACATTATAGTTCCTTAAAAAAGGTAGTAGGCCTTACACATTCCAGCATGGTAACTGGAACCTTACCAGTAGAGGAAAACCATACTAAAGACAACTGTCTCACACCAAAACCATGGGAACAACCATGAGTTCCACCAACAGGGGCACTGTACTGCTTAGCAGAAGCTTTGGTTTCTGACTGGCTGGCTAAGCTCCAGAAGTGTCTGTTTTGTCAGCACTCTCTTCTGGTAGCTCAGAGATCAAGCTCTGTGCTCTGGCCGAGAGTCTCGGATCTGCAACGACCACCCTGACCCTTGAAAAAATGATACACTCACAACAGGACAAGGCTCCACAGACAGAAAGGGACTGAATGACTGTGCACAGAGAGCAAATAGGAGACCTTCAGGTGCAGAGCTGCGGCAGGGCCATCTGGCAGGACACCCCTTTCTACACACGGCTTGGCCAGCAGGGCCCATGACCAGCCCGCTGCTAGCTGACCTTTGTCCCCTTCATGTGGCCCTGGCACCCCTGGCACTCCCTCCTACTTCAGTGAATTCTGTTTAAAATACACATCTTTAGCATGGGAATGCCCATTTAAAATGCATATCTGGAACATGAACTTTAAGCAAAACCAGCCACCTTGGACAGTACAGGTCCATCATGCTTTGTTGTCTGGTATGCTGTCACACACGGGTCACTTAAAATCAACGAGCGAAGACTCACTGAGATTGTACTGCATGGGAGATGTTCTAAGGACACACGGACATGAATACAAGAAACAATGGTCTTCTCTGGAGCTTAGAGTTTAGTTGGAAGTTCAAGACATATACATATAAAAAGACAGTCAAATAAACTAGTGGGAGAAAGAAAAGTGTAAACTGGGGAGTGAATATATAAATGCTTCATCCAAAGGAACATTAACAAGCACCTCCTGCGTGTCCAGAATGGTGTGAAGGGCAATCATTAGGGGAATGAAGGGATGACGAGACTCAGATCCCACTTGATTTATAAGACACCTTATACACATTCGCAAAGCACCGTCATGAGATTCTGTAAGTCGTAAACAAGGCGACAAGCGCAAATGAGCACTAGCAGTCAGTACCCACTAGGTACTCATGCACCTGCGGGGAGCACTGCACACCTCAAAGCCACAGCCTGGAAGAGAAGAAGAAACTGGATGCTGATGTGGGAGCGTGTGTAGGGTTGGCACCGAGGAGGAAGAATTTGACAGGTGGAGAGACGCACAAACGCTTCCAGCCGAACTCTTAGGGAGTTCACGGTAAGGGAGACAACTGTGTGTGAACGCCGAGTTACATGTCAGAATGTGGTAAACACCTCGAGCTGTGGTTAGGGGAC